CTGGCTCTATGGATTTGTCTAATCTGGACAGTTCAGATGAATGGAATCATATCATATATGGCCTTTTGTAACTACCTATTTTCACTTAACATAAAGTTTTAAAGGTGTATCCATGTTGTAGTATATCACTACTATATTTTTATGACTAAATAGTATGCCAGCCCTGGCCAATTGATTCAGGTGGTTAGGTGTTGCCTCACAGACCAAAAGGTCGTGGCTGTGATTCCGGATCAGGACACATGCCTAGGTTGCAGGTTCAGCCCCCGTTTGGGCATGTATGAAAGACAACCCATCAATGTTTCTCACATCAATGTTTCTCTTCCACTCTTTCTCCCTCCTCCAGTTCCCTCTCTTTAAACCCTCTTTCCCTTCATCTCTCTCTAAAAGCAATGAAAAAATGTCCTCTTGGTGAGGATTAAAAAAATAAAATAAATAGTATTCTGAGAGCTTCTTGCCAAGATGGAGGCATAGATAGATAAACTTTGCTTCCTCACACAACCAAAAGAAGAATAACAACCAACTTGAAAACAAGAAACAACCAGAACTGCCAGAAAACAGAACTATATGAAAGTCCGACAACCAAAAAGTTAAAGAAACATTCATCCATACTGGTAGGAGGGGCAGAGACAGGCAGCAGGGGCAGAGAGGAGGTGCAGCAAGGAGGCAGTTGGTGGACCAGGAGGTCCCACATTCATGTGTGAATAAACTGGGAGGAACAGCTGGGGAGTGAAACAGACCATGCAACCCAGGGTTCCAGCATGGGAAAACAGAGCCTCAAAACCTCTGTCTATAAAAACCTGTGCAGGTTGCAGCAGCAGGAGAAACTACCAGTCACACAAGAGAGTCCACTAGAGTAGCCCACAGGGTCCTAGAATGTACACAAACTGACGCACCCAGGATTCAGCACCAGAAGGGTGCTTTTTGTGTGGAGGGGGGAGGTAGCAAGGGAAGTGATTGAAAGCAGGGAGGGAGCAAGTGGCATTGTTCCCTCTCTGACCCTTCCCCCACATACAGCACTACAACACAGCAAAGTGGGTTGCCTCACCTTGGCAAATACCTAAGGCTCCACCCATTACAATGTAATAGCTGTGTCAAGACAAAGAAATATGGCCCAAATGAAAGAACAGATCAAAGCTTCAGAAACAGAAATAAGCAACAAGGAGAGAGCCAACCAATAAGATACAGAGTTCAAAACACTGGCAATCAGGATGCTCACAGAAATGATTGATGCAAAGTAGATGAAGAAGTGAAGGCTATACAAAGTGAAATAAAGAAAAATATACAGGGAACCAACAGTGAAGGGAAGGAATCTGGTACTCAAATCAACAATTTGGAACAAAAGGGAGAAATAAACATTCAGCTGGAACATAATGAAGAAACAAGAATTCAAAAAAATGAGGAAAGGCTTAGGAACCCCTGGGACAAGTTTAAATGTTTCAACATGCAAATCATAGAGGTGCCAGAAAGAAAAGAGGAAGAGCAAGAAATTGAAAACCTATTTGAAAAAAAATAACAAAATAAAACTTTCCCAATCTGGTGAAGGAAATAGACAAGTCCAGGAAACTCAGAATCCCAAACAAGTTGGACAAAAAGAGGAATATGCCAAGACACATTGTAATTAAGTTACCCAACTTTAAAGATAAGGAGAGAATCTTCAAAGCAACAAGAGAAAAGGAGACAGTTACCTACAAAGGAGTTCCCATAAGACTATCAGCAGATTTCTCAAAAGAAACCTTGCAGGCAAGAAGGGAGTGGCAGGAAGTTTTCAAAGTCATGAAAGACAAGGACCTATATCTAAGATTACTCTATCCAGAAAAGCTATCATTTAGAATGGAGGGCAGGTAAAGTGCTTCTTAGATAGGGTCAAGTAAAGGAATTCATCATCACCAAACTCTTATTATATGAAATGTTAAAAGGACTTATCTAAGAAAAAGAAGATCAAAACTATGAACAGTAAAATGACAACAAACTCACAGCTATGAATTACTGAACCTAAGAAAACAAAAACAAAAACAAACTAAGCAAAACTACAACAGGAACAGAAATGGAGATCACTTGGAGAGTTATCAGCAAGGAGGGGGAAGGGTGAGAATGAGGGAAAAGATCCATGGAATAAGAAGCATAATTGGTGGGTACAAAATAAACAGGGGAAGCTAAGAATAGCATAGGAAATGCAGAAGCCAAAGAACTTATATGTATAACCCATGGACATGAAATAAGGAGGAAGGGAGAAAAAAAGGGACAGCTGTAATAGTATAATCAATAAAATATACTTAAAAATAGTATTCCATTGTATACAGGATGCCACATTTTGTTTATCTATTCATGCATTGATTTACATTTAGGTTCTTTCTACCTTTTTTAAAAGATATTTCATTTATTTATTTTAAGAGAGAGAAGCAGGGAGGGAGACAGAGAGGGAGAGAAACATCAATGTGTGGTTGCCTCTTGTGCACCCTCCCCTCACTGGGGACCTGGCCTGCAACCCTGGCATGTGCCCTAACTAGGAATCAAACCAGTGATCCTTTGTTTTGCAAGCTTGCACTCAATCCACTGAGCAACACCAGCCAGGGCTCTTTCTACCTTTTGATTAATATGAATAGTAATGCTCTAAAAATTCATTTATAAGTTTTTGTTTGGACACCTATTTCCATTTTGGGGGAGCAACATACCTAGGAGTAGAATGTCTATCACATAGTAAATCTATGACTCCTTTTAAGAGGTTTATAATTTTGTTGTTACATGTAGGTCTCTTATCCATTCTAGTTAATTTTTGTATATTTTGAAGTAGGAGTCAAAGTTTATTCTTATTCATGTAAATATCCAGTTATCCCAGTAGCATGTATTGAAAAAATTATACTCCCCATTGAATTAACTTGGTATCTTTGTCAGAAATCAACTGACCATAAACATATGGGTATATTTCTAGACTCTCAGTTCATTCCCAACTTTATCTATCCTTATGTCAGTACCATAGTGTCTTGATTATTGTAGCTTTGTAGTGATTAAGACTAACTGAAACTTTAAGCAAATATAATCAGTTGGGAGGAGGTATGGAAGGAGCTAATGCTTGGGAAAGTTTCTGCACTCTATGTAATCACGAGAACCCTACTAGAAGAACAGTAAAACAGAGGGGAGGGGGGAGGGGAAGAATGGGGGAAAAGGTACAGGGAATAAGCAGCATAAACAGAAGGTACAAAATAGGCAGGGGGAAGTTAATAATATTATAAGAAATGAAGAAGCCAAAGAACTTATATGTATGACCCATGGACATGAACTAAGGGACAGGGGAAATGCTGCGGGGTAGGGTGGTGGAGGGTGGAGGGGAATAAAGGGGAAGAAAAAATGGAACAAAAAAAAGATTAAAAAGAAATACGCTTGCAAAACTCAAGGATAGTGAACCAGTGTTTTTTTCCTACCTAGCAATGCTGTTAGTGGCTTAGACTCTATGCTCCAGGCCCAGCCTTCTTCTCCTTCTCCTGTACCTCCTCCTCCTCTTCCTCTACTCCCTCCTCCTTCTTCTCCTTCTCCTCCTTCTGCCCTTCTCCCCCTCCTTCTTCTTTTTCTTCTCCTCCTCTCCCCCTCTCTCTCCTCTTCCTACTCCTTCTAGTGATGGCCTAATAAACACTTCCATTTAAATAGAAAAGAAAAAAAGAAAGCACACCCTCCCTCCATGGATTAGAGGCAGGCAACACGGGACTTTGGGAGAGCAGTAAAAAGGCTACAGCTAGATCCACAGAAAAAATGATGATGCTCTGGACCAGGCTAATGGCAGTAGAAATGGAGGGAGTGAATAAGTTTGAGATGAATCTGTTTCCTATCCTCCTTTCCAGAGTTTTCTCCCACACCCTCCCCAACTCCCATACACAAACACTCTGAACCCATATTTTGTCCTTCTTCTGACCATTTTCTTTCCTCACTATTTCTCTAGTCCTTCCACCTTAACTATCACTTCCTTCAGTAATCCTTCCCTCCCATTTGCTCTCATAACAATCAGGCTGTTCCAGTTTAAGTATTTATCATTGATTGTACCTTGATTGTAATTTGCATGTTTAGTACTTGTGTATGGTGGGGAAGTTTACCAGCGAGCCTTCCCCAAGTGACTCTGGGTCACACACACAAAATAAAGAAGTAGCAACACACTTGACTTTCTGGAATTCCCCTACACATTCTCCCCCAGGCCACCCCTTATATGTGCCAGGCACTGACACCATCAATCATCAATACGTCTTGGTAAAACCTTTGAAGAGCATATGAAGCATTTGACTATTGACAAAGAATTATGACAAGATTGTTCAGGTATCAGAGCAAACTGGTTTCATCCACATATGATGCATTTCATTACTTGCAGATCAAAGAGAACCACAGATGAAAATTAAAGGAATACACACAGAACTGCAGGCACAATATCATGGAAACAGTCCAATTTCAGGAATTTGCAAGGATGACTTTGACTAAATACTAAATATTTTTGCCTCACATACCACATAAGATGCGACCACACTGCTTTTTTGCAGGGGCGATATTTAAAACATTCAACTGTTAAGATTGCTTAGGCACTGACCAGGGACTTAGCTGGCATAGGTCCTATAGGTCCCCTGAGGTACCCTGCCTGATGTCATATTTGCTGGGGAAGTCAGAGAAGAGACCAGTGTGCAAGGTTGGGGCCAACTCAGGGAAATAGCTATTTACTGACAGATGTGGGATTATTTCAATATTTTAATAACTAACATGTCTAAATTGATTATGTACTATCAAATACCAGCTCTATATACAGGTGGATTCATACAAGGCTCTGTACAGGCCAAGTGTTATTATTTACTGTTGTTAGAATATTCTCAAATGCAAAGCTCATCCTGTGAGTCTCCGACTCAAAGCCCTCTGAAGGTTCCTTTATAAAATTCTGCCACTTGTGACACTTGGCGATGCCCATCCTGAAATCTCTCAACCCCTAGGTTGCCTCTATTTGCACATTTATAATCCAAATGCTCTGCACTCACCTGCTTGCCCTTGATAACAGTATTGGTCTGCCAGGTACCAGCGTTCTGTCTGAACATTGCCACCAGGCCAGTGTGCTGATATCGAGGTGCTCCCAGAACAAGGGTTTGGATCCGGTTCCGCAAGATGACTTCAGCAGCATAACCTAAAGATGATTGATCCAAGAGAAGTGTTTTTCCTTGCAGACCCTGCCCTCTCTAGCAGCCCTGTGTTGGTAGGTTGGAGTAACTTGACCCTGCACTATATTCCTCTTTATTAACATAATTAAAATGGAATTTTGAAATTTCTGTCTTTAAAGCTATTCCAAGGCCAATGAAAGATCCAATGACATCTTTGCTGATTGAGTTATATCACATCCTGACCCCCTCTTAGAGTAACCCTGTCCTTACCACTTACCCAGGTAAGCATCATTCATGTCTGAATCTATCCTGGTTGTGTTGATGAAGGTGGTTTTATCTTTTGGCATGTGCAGAAAAGCTCCACCAGCCCAGTCAAAGCTCCCCACGGCACCCAGCAAGGGACCATCCTAGGAAAGAGAATAGAACAGGATGAGCACTCTACAGCTTCAGTGTAACATCTATCAAAAGTACAATGGCATTTTTCACAGAAATAGAACAAAAAATCCTAAAATTTGTATGGAACCACAGAAAAACCCAAGTAAATAAAACAACTTGGAGAAAGGGGAACAAAGCTAGAGGCATTATACTTCCTGGTTTCAAACTATATTGCAAAGCTACGGAAATCAAAACAGTATGGTATTGACATAAAAACAGACACATAGACAAATGGAACAGATTAGAGAGCCCAGAAATAAATCCATGCATAGGTGATCAACTAATTTACAATAATGACATCAATAATAGTCAATGGAGACAGGACAGTCTCTCTCAGCAACAAATGGTATTTGGAAAACTGGACAGCCACATGCAGGAAGGAAGGAAGGAAGGAAGGAAGGAAGGAAGGAAGGAAGGAAGGAAGGAAGGAAGGAAGGAAGGAAGGAAGGAAGGAAGGAAGGAAGGAAGGAAGGAAAGATGGAAGGAAGGAAGGAAGGGAGGAAGGAAGGAAGGAAGGGAGGGAGGGGAAAAGAAAAGAAAAGGAAGAAACTGGAACACAAGCTTATACCATACACAAAAATCAATTCAAAATTGATTAAATATTTGAACATAAGACCTGAAATCATAAAACCCCAAGAAGAAAACATAAGCAGTCAGCTTCTTAACATCAGTCTTTGAAATGATTTTTTGGATTTGATACCAAAAGCAAAGAACAAGTAGACCTAAATCAAACTGAAAAGCTTGTGCACAACAAAAGAAACAATCAACAAAATGAAAAGGCAACCAATGGAATAGGAGAATATATATATTTCAATCACAGCTCTGACAAGGGGTTAATATTCAAAATACATAAAAAACTCATACAACTCAATAGCAAGAGAACAAACAACCTGATTAAAAAATAGACAGAGGGCCCTGGATGGTGTGGCTCAGTGGATTGAGTGCTAGCCCGTAAACCAAAGGTTTGCTGGTTCAGTTGCCAGTCAGGGCACATTCCTGGGTTGCAGGCCAGGCCCCTGGTAGGGGGTGCGCAAGAGGCAACCACACATTGATGTTTCTCTCCCTCTCTCTCCCTCCTTTCCCCTCTCTCTAAACATAAATAAATAAAATCTTTTAAAAAAAAAATAGGCAGAGGGTCCAAATGAACATTTTTCCAAAGAAAATATACAGATGTCCAAGAGATACATGACAAAAGTTCTCAATCACTCAACAAAGTCATAACCACAATGAGCTATCACCTCACACCTATTAGAAGAGCTATCATCAAAAAGAAAAAAGAAACAAGTGTTGGTAAGGATGTGGAGAAAAGTAAACCCTTGTGCATTGTTGTGAGAGTGTACTGGTGCAACCATTATAAAAAACAGTATGGGGGTTTCTCAAAACATTTTACAAAGAATTACCATATGATCCAGCAATCCCACTTCTAGGTATTTATCTGAAGCAAATGAAAACACTAACTCAAAAAAGATATCTGCACCCCATGTTTATTGCAGCATTATTTACAATAGCCAAGACATAGAAGCAACCTAAGTATGAATCAGTGGATGGGTGGATGAAGAAAATGCACTATACACAATGGAATATTGCTCAGCCATTAAAAAAAAAAAGAAGGAAATTGTCATTTGCAACAACATGAATGGACTTGGAGGGTATTGTGCTTTGTGAAGTAAGTCAGACAGAGAAAAACAAATACTATATGATCTCACTTATATATAGAATCAAAAAAATAAGAACTCATAGATAGAACAAATTGATGGTTGCCAAAGGCATGGGATGGGAAGTGGGCCAAATGGGTAAAGGCAGTCAAAAAGTACAAACTTCCAGTTATAAAATAAATAAATCTTGAGAATGTAATGTGCAGCATGGTGACTATAGTTAGTAATATTTTATTGTATATTTGAAAGTTGCTAAGAGAATAAATCTCAAAAGTTCTGTTCCCAAGAAAAACGTTGTTAACTATATGTGGTGACAAGAGTTAACTAGACTTACTCTGGTGATTATACACATACACATACATACGCACACACACACACACACACACACACACCCTCACATGTATATCATATTTCATGTATATATTATTATGTTGTACACCTGAAGCTAATATCATGTCATACATCCAATATACCTCAAGTTAAAAAAAAAAACAAGAATGACAAAGAAGTGAGAAAAGACCACTGCTGTCAACCAAAAAGGTGCCTCCCAAAAATACCCACCACAGAGAAGAGCCCCCAACCCTGTGCCTCTTCTCCCCCTTCTTACCACCCCCACAATTTAACAAGGACCACTTACGGAAGTTATGGAAGCACTGAAGCCTTCCTGAGACATCTCATACTCAAAGGAGCTGGTACTTCCTGTTTGAGTACCTGTGAGGAGGAGAACACTCTACATTAAAGAAGGCAGAAGAGCCTAGAACAGGGGCTAGAAATTCAAAAACCATCGTGGTCAGTCCCCAGCCCCCTCTCCCTCGGTCAGATATGTCTGGAGCCAATAGCATGCAGACCCCCAGACCCCGTGGGAACCAGAGCAACTCAGAGGTGGTGAACAGTAGCTCTTCAAGTGTGCTATAAAAAATGGCCTCCAGCTCTGACAGGTGTGGCTCAGTTGACAGGGCAACATCCAGCAAACCAAAAGCTATCTAGTTCAATTCCAGTCACAACACATGTGTGGATTGCGCTTAGTCCCTAGTCAGGTGGTTGCAGGAGGCAACTAATCATGTTACTCTTCCTCTCTTCCTCCCCACCTTCCCCTCTCTATAGAATCAATAAAAGAAAAAATATATAGCCTCCAATAGAACTACATTGCATCCCTGGCCAGTGTGGCTCATCCTCTGGTACATTGGATCACTGGTCAGGGCACATGCCTAGGTTGTGGGTTTGATCCCCAGTGGTGGCATTTATGGAAGGCAATCAATCCATGTTTCTTCTCACATGATGTTTCTCTCTCTTTCTTTCCCCCCTCCACCTCCCCTTCTCTCTAAAATCAATAAGCATGTCTTCAGGTGAGGATTAAAAAAAATGGCCTCCAATAAAACTACACTGCAAAAAATGGTAAAGAAACAAAATGGAAAAAGTAAAAAAGTAGAAGAGGCAGAGCCTGAAGAATGAGTATTGGAGAAAATAATGGACTGTCACTTAGTGAATGGGACCATGGAGCATTTCCTATAATGGAAGGGATTCACAGATGCTGACAATATTTGAGAACCTAAATAAAATATAGATTTACCAGAGATAACTGAAGCATTTCTTAATTCTCAAAAGGCTGGTAAAGAAAATGATGGTACAAAAGGAAAATCTTTATCAACAATGATTCTGATGAAAGCAAATCAAAGAAACAGACATGCTGCTGATAAACTAAGAGGCTTTGCCAAAGGTCTTGATCTTGAAGGAATGTTTAGTGCCACAAAAAGAAGAGAATTCATGTTCTCAAGAAATGGGAAGATTCAGAGGAGACAGATTTGGCGCTGGCCAAAGAGGCAAATTATGAAGTGTCCTCAAATTGTAATTGCTTTTTATGAAGAGAAACCAACCTGGCATTCTTGTCCAGTGATTGTTTGCCTTGCTTTCCATATATATTTAAATGCATATGAATCTGGGTCTTGGTTTTAGGATTTGTTAGCATGAAGAAATAACTACATTCTAATGAAAATCAAGTTTGATATGTTTGTTTTGAAGTAGTGTTGGGGGAGTTTTGTAGGGGTACTACATCTACAGCACTGGTTGCTTTGAACAAAAGCTTTCTGTAGTTGCTTCCTTTATCAGAAAAGAACGTTTGACACCATAGTATATTTCTCCTTCTCATTAAAAAACAGCTTTTCTAAATGTTGGGGGAAATGTTTATAGTCATTACTCAGTCAGAATTTGTATTTAACTGATGTAGGCCTAAGGATCATTCTGGGTTTTTTGTTTACTTGGGGGTTTTTGGTGTGTACACATAAAATACATATGTAAATAGTTTTCATTTCTTTATTTTTTTAAACATTTACCAAAACAAAACAGCATTTCACAACCATAGATAAGCTCATGTTTCTGGGATGCCATCATTTTCAGCAACCTAAGAGATAAATCACTTCAAGTTCAATTGAAATTTTCCCTGAAGCTTTAACCTTTGAAATTAAATAGATAATTTGTAATTAATTGGGCCATTTAAATATAATGTAAGCAGTTTAAATTGAACAGTTTAACGGTAGTCGTATCAGAATCCATAGTTATCATACATACAAGTTTATTTTTAAAACCCCTAAAAGGACAAATATATCACTACCAATAACCTCCCCACCCAAATGAGATAAGTGGGCAAACCCTGGTAGGTTTAATTAGGCAAGCGAGACTTAAAGATTCTGCCTAGCAAACCGCTCCTTTATATGAGGTTGAAATGACTGTACTATATTGACTAAAAAGTCATGATTCATGGAATGTCTAAAAATTTGTTCATAAAAACCTAATTAAATGGTTAGAGACATTGGCAATTTTAAGACCAGCTGGAATAAATGGGTGAACAAACTTGTAATCTAAACTTCTGACCTTCGTGTTTTCTCTTTACCCCTACTCATCCTTTTTTTCCTCCCCTTTATTCCCCTCCACCCTGCACTGTTCCTCCCCAAAGGATTCCCCCCGCCCCTCTGCCTTAGTTCATGTCCATGGATCGTACATATCAGTTCTTTGGTTTTTCCATTTCCTATACTATTCTTAACCTCCCCCTGCCTATTTTGTACCTACTATTGAAGCTGCTTATTCCCTGTATCTTTTCCCCTACTCTTCCCACCCCCTCTCCCCTCTGATCTCCATTTCTATTATTCTGTTCCTGTTCCAGTTATTTTCTTAGTTTGTTTGTGCTTTTTTTTTTTAAGGTTAAGTTGTTGCTACTTGGGAGTTTGTTGTCATTTTGCTGTTCATAGCTTTTAATCTTCTTTTTCTTAGGTAAGTCTCTTTAATATTTCATATAATGAGGGCTTGGTGATGATGAACTCTTTTAACGTGACCTTATCTGGGAAGCACTTTATCTGCCTTTCCATTCTAAATGAGAGCTTTGCTGGATAGAGTAATCTTGGATGTAGTTCCTTGTCTTTCATGACTTTAAATACTTCCTGCCAGCCCCTTCTTGCCTGCAAGGTTTCTTTTGAGAAATCTGTTGATAGTCTTATGGGAACTCCTTTGTAGGTAACTGCCTCCTTTTCTTTCGCTGCTTTGAAGATTCTCCTGTCTTTAACCTTGGGTAATGTCATTATGATGTGCCTTTGTGTGTGCTTCCTTGGGCCCAACTTCTTTGGGACTCTCTGAGCTTCCTGGACTTCCTGGAAGTCCATTCCTTCGCCAAACTGGGGAAGTTTTCCTTCATTATTTTTTCAAATAAGTTTTCAATTTCTTGCTCTTCCTCTTCTCCTCCTGGTACCACTATAATTCAGACGCTGGAACATTTAAAGTTGTCCCAGAGGTTCCTAAGCCTCTCCTCATTTTTTTTTTGAAGTCTTGTTTCTTCATTCTGTTCTGGTTGAATGCTTATCTCTTCTTTCTGCTCCCAATCGTTGATTTGAGTCCCAGTTTCCATCCCTTTACTGTTGGTTCCCTGTATATTTTTTCCTTATTTCACTTTGCATAGCCTTCCCTTTTTCCTCCATTTTGCGACCATACTCAACCAATCCAGTGAGCATCCAGATTACCAGTGTTCTTAACTGTCCATCTGATAAGTTGGCTATCTGTTCATCACTTAGTTCTATTTTCGGAGCTTTGGTTTGTTCTTTCATTTGGGCCATATTTCTTTGTCTCAGTGTGCCTGTTATGTTGGGAGCGGCAGAGCCTTAGGTATTTGCTATGGTGGGGCAACCCAGGTCGCTGCATTGTGACACTGTGTGTGTGGAGGGGTCTGAGAGGGAACAATGCCGCTTGCTTGGCTCTCAGCGGGCTTTCAATCACTTCCCCCACTACCCACAAGCAAATCAGGCCCATCTGGTGCTGATTCCTGGGTGGTTGGGTTTGTGTATGTTCTAGGACCCTGTCTATGAGTCTGGGAGTTTCTCCCACTGCCACACACCCAACAGGTTTTTACTTCAGAGGTTTTGAGGCTTTCTTTTCCTGTACTGGAACCCTGAATTGCATGCTATGTCTCACTCCGCAGCTGTTCGTCAGGGTTTATCCACAGGCAAGTGTGGGACCACCTGGTCCTACAGCTGCCGCCTTGCTGCACGTCCTCTCCACCACATTGCCCATCTCCACCCCTCCTACCGATCTGGATGAATGTTTCTTCTTTAGCTCCTGGTTGTCAGACTTCCATATGGTTTGATTTTCTGGCAGTTCTGGTTTGTTTTTTTTTTAATTTGTTGTTGTCCTTCTTTTGGTTGTGCGAGAAGGCAAAGTGTATCTACCTATGCCTCCTTCTTGGCCAGAAGTTTATTCCAACTCATTCTTTACATGTAGGCTCAATCTCAGCATTCAGGTTGCTGGTTCAGCAGAAGCCAGGAAAAATAATAACTTTGTAGTAAACAGAATGTTACCCAACTGTATATTGTTTACTTTTTGTAAATATTGGTAAACAGTGGTCAATAGTTTTCTATTCCTTAAAAAAAAAACCACATACAAATGCTATGGTGGTCAGACAAAAGAAGGCTCAGGTGAGAGCTATGCTGAGCTAGAAAGCATATGCCCCTTTTTAAAAGATAGTGGCTCTTTGGCTCCAGCCACTTTTTACCAGTGGGAATGTGGTCCTCAAGGTATACAATCGTCCAACTTTTCAAGATAAGACACAAATCCAGTTTGTTTTTGAACCCTCCCTCAATTTTTAAGTTATTTTATTGAACACACTTTTATCAAGGACTCTATATGCACCAGGCACTATTCTAGGCACTGAAAAAACAGCAGTAAACCAAAAAAATTCTGGCAACATATCCAAATTTTTAGAAAAATATTCTATGAGATTTGGCTCCCCTACCCTCCAATTTTTCAGCCTTTGGCCAAGAGTTGCAAAATTAGAGCTAAAAGCCTAAATCTTTATCTATTCCAAGGAACAGACCAAGTGAAGCTGGGGTGGCTGGGACCAAGTGGAAGTAATGAGAGAGTTGATGCTGAGTGTCAGGATGCTAAGGATTAGGAAGTTCTAGTTTCTAGAGAGAAATATGTGTTTGGGGGTAAGGGGCTGCCTCTGGGACTGTTCAAGAAGTACACAACCTTAGCTTACCCTCAATTGCAAAGATTTTTTCCTGAAGCTGGTTTTGAATGGTCTTCAGAGCTTCAAAGTTATTCACCTGGAACACATGATCACGAGGTGGCTTGGATGCAATGGTATTAAGCTCTTCACGGGAACTCACACTTCTGAAGGCATCTCCCACCTGTTATCAAGGAATAGAGGCTCAATGAGACACTTTCTGGGGGTAGCAATGTTATCCAGCAAAGAAAATTCTGCAGGAAAAGTACCCAAAACAATATTTTTCACAAGAGGGTATATACCTGAAGGCCCCTGGGACAGGGCTGCCAAGGATAGTAGAGCAGGTTGTACACTGTGCAAGGAATTCTGTCAAGGGAGCAACTGGGGACTAAAATCCAGCTGTTGGCCCATTTGTTGTGCTATGCCTCCTGGTGTGGGCTGACCTTTCTTCAGAGGAAAGGAAGCCTTTTTCTTTTTATGAAGGGGTTTACTACTTGCCAAGTCATGTACCTTTTTCTATGTCACACAAGGTACTGTGACAGTTTGATTACATTGCTGATTCCAACCCTTTACCCATTCCTGCATCCAATCCATTTCCCCAAAACTTTTCTGTGTCCTCCTAATCATGGCAGGGTACTCTACCCGACTCATTGTCTCTGGGTTCAGCCACATGTTTCTCATGTTACTAAATGTGATGCAAACAGAGGCTTGAAAAAGTGCTTGCAACGCTTCCACTTGCCTTCACCATGAGGATATGCCCAGGCTAGCCCACTGGACATGCCCTCATGGTAAAGACACAGAACAGAAGAACCAAGTTACCCAGGCTGCTCCCAGCATTCCTGTCCAGCAGACAGGCAGAGCTGGCAACCTTCAGAAACGGAGAGAGCCCAGCCAAGGTTAGCAAGACTGCCAACCAACCTGCTACTGGTTGCAGATGCATGAGCGAACCCAGCTGAGACCAGAAAAATTGCCCACCTGACCTACAGGAACTTATTGTTTTAAGCCACTGAATTTTGGGTTAGTTTGTTATACCACATCATTGTGACAATAGTTAACTGATACACCCACAAATGGACTAGAAGTGACTATTGCTCCACGATGATTTTCTTGATATTTGCTCATTAAAGGGAGGGTATATTTAAGTAGAAAACCTCCACAGAAGCATCAGGCTGGAGAGCCACATTTCCTACCCCAATGACGTAGCGAATGATACCCTCTCTGTCTGCCTCAGGGATGACATCCTTGTACTCCAAGCGATCACCATACTTTTCTCCATCTGTGATGACAACTAGGATCTTAAGGACATTCTCCCGGGCTCCACTGTTGCTGTTAAACAGTTCTCTTCTATCCAGGGGAGAAGAAAGAAAAGTCAAATGGAAGCAGATGGAGATATTTTTAATGCTAGGGATGGAGTGTCAGCAGTCACAGATGCAGATACAGCAGGGTACTGTCTGGGACAGCGTGGGCTCCCTGGAGATGAACAATGAGATGTGGCTTCTCCAAACCTAGAAGGGCAGCAGGAAAGGGGAAAAGAGTGGACAGGAAAAACACCTTCACTTTGCCCTTATATACTTTTGTATAGGTTGGGTTTTTTTAACTGAATATTATTACTTTTAAATTAAAAAGTGTATATGTATATTTTTTAAAAATAAGAGTACTTGGGTTCTCATCAAACCTCTCTGGTTTGATACAACAGCTCTCTAGCTCATATTCCCGCATTTTTATCCTAACCCCAGTCCTTGTCTCTACACACACAGTCACAGAAATCAGAGTGCACTTTCTAAAACAAGGTGCAGTTTCATCTCCCCACTACTTAAGAATGTCAATGGATCCCATCTGGCTTTTCAGTTGTTTATAGCAACCTGGCCTCAACTGGTCTTTCTAGCCTCCTTCCAGCCGCCTTCTCACTTCCCCCCTTTACTCACAACTTGTTTTGTCATGAACAGTCCCTCTCCCACACCTTTACTCATGCTGTTCTCTCAGCCAGAAATATCCTTTACTCCATCCCTGTCTGGACAACTCCCTTCAACCTTCAAAATCCCAGCTAAAAATATTACCTCCTTCCTACATCCTAAGCAACGAGGGAGGAGCTTACACTACTTTGCGGATTCCTGTGGCAGTGTGTGTCTTCCCATACAGCTGATCTATTGGCGTCACCAGTTGTTTAGGGTTAGGGTTATCCTTGAACTCTTTGAAGGTGAAATGAGTCCGGAAGTCTTCAGAGTACTGCATCAAAGAGAACTGGAAACAGGCACCTGACATTACACTGAAGAAGATGCCTCTCCTCCCCCTTATCCATCTCCCAGAAAGCCATATATAAATTTTTAAACACTCCAGTCTTCAAATTCCTCCATATTCTACACCGCCTCCCTCCTTCTGCCTCAGCAGGAAAAGATCTGCTATCATCTCTCACCTCTCTGTACTAGAACACAGTCAGAAATGACACGTGGGTTTCATCTCCCATGCCAACCCCTATCAGTCAGAACTACCCAATTTACAGAGAGCTGGAAGAATACTGAGGCTGCATCCAGAAAGAGCAAGAAAGAGAATCATGGAAGAAAACGATGATCAACTGGCAATTTGTCAAATTCTGCAACTAAAGTAGGAGGGAGAAACAGCGGCCTGGTTGCTATGTCCTTGACAGCCTTATATGGGCTATTCCCCAACCCATCCATTGGCCCTCACCAAGGTTTTAGACTTTGAAAACTGATTCATCACAGTTGAGACAAACTCCTTCATCTTCTTAAAGTCATGTGGGGCAATGCTACCAGAGCCATCAATCAAGAAAGCGATGTCACTATCTTGTTGAGGGCAACCTGAGGGAAAGGAAAAAGAGCATAAATTGATTAAGTACTAAAGCCTCCAGGTTCATGTTTCGCATGTCAGTTATCTGCTGAACAATGAAATTAAAAGGTAAATAGATTCAACCTATGCTCCAAGTTAAATGAAAATGTGGACAAACTGGTATAAAAAAAAATTGGTTATTTCTGCCCAAGAGAGCCAGGGAATGTGGTGAAATTAGAGCTACCTTATGAAGAATGAGAAATAACTTGCCAGGAATACAAAGAGAAGTAAATTACAGGGGAAAAAGGAATATCACATATAAAGGTATGCTGGATATTCTCCCTTCTGCCCTCAGAAAATCCGCTTTCTACCTTTCCCCACTCTGCTCTGCAGCCTGGGAGGTTGGCCCACATGGTCCACATCAACAGGGCTTTTTTACACTCTGGCTTCTAGTTGGATTTGCCCAATTAGGAGCCTCAAAAGGAAACTGGAGGGAAGGAAGAAAGTGAGATCAGGGTATTCTCCTCCTGGCTCCCTCCCTGTGAGGTTGTTCTAGGTCAGCTGTGTCCCTCAACAGACGATCACCACCCATCATGGGAAGGCCTGATCCACACAACTTTCTCTCCTCTGGACTCTGGTGACTTTCCCTTCTCCTTGTCTTGTCAGTTTAGGGATGGTAATAGCTCTGATGCTGCTGGCCCAGGGTTCTTGGACTGTCCTTTGTAGTTCCCTTCAACCCTACCACACCTTTATAATTAGTCTCTCTGTAAATAAACCCTCTTCAAATGATCTTAACTGGAGTGTGACACCTGTTCCAATAGTGCCTGGCTGATGCAAAGGGAATGTGCCTAAAAGAATTCTGGCAGAATCCAGGAATGGAAATGGAACTACCAGGGTAAATCTATATGATGGTGATGGGGACAAGGCTATGACATTAAGTGGAGAACAGTTGGAAAGAGCCTCTCTACTCAGAAAGTAGTTTGACTTTATCCCTTAGGCAGTGAGGAGCCACTGAAGGTTCTTAGAAAAGGAAGTGAGATGATCTGTTTGTATTTTAGAAAGATTGCCATAGCAGGGAAGACTTTTTGCAGCTTTATTCATGATTGTGAAACATTGAAAATAACCCACACATCCTTCAGTGACTGAATGGATGAATCAGTGAATGAGATTGTGGTAAATCCACGCAATGGAATACTACTCAGCAATAAAAAGAAAAGAACTACTGATGCTATAACAATATGGTTGAATCCCAAATGCAAACTCAAAATATTATGATTCCATTTATGTAGCATTCTTGATAAGACAAATTATATAGTGGTGGAGAAAAGATCAGCAAGTACCAGGAGCTAGGGGTGAAAGGAAAGAGGCAACTGACTATAAAGGTTTTGTTTTTTTTTAAGAAGGGTAGTAGAGCCCTTTCTTTTCATCCTCACCCACAGACATGTTCACTGATTTTTGGAGAGAGAGGAAGGGTGAGAGACACCGAGAGAGAAAGAAAGAAGCATTGATAAGTTGCCTCCCGTACATGTCGCAACCAGGGATTCACCTGCAACCCAGGTATGTGCCCTGACTGGGGATCGAATCTGCAACCTTTCAGTGCAACAGGATGATGCTCCAACCAGCTGAGCCACCGGGCCAGGGCAGAGGGGTAGTAGAACTCTTTTGCATCCTATTGATGTTGTTACTTACACAAATCAATACATATCTTAAAATTCATGAAACTGTACACTGAAAAATAATCATGGGGATATAATGTACAGCATAGGGAATATAGTCGATAATGTTGCATTAACTATGTATGGTGTCAAATGGGTAATAGATTTATCAGGGTGATAATTTGGTATGGTGTATAAAGCCTAATCACTATGTTGTACACCTGAAACAAATAAAATATTTTATGTCAACCGTAACTGAAAAATAAATTAATTTTTTTTTAAAAAGAAAAATCGCTCCAGCTGGTTTGGCTCAGTGGATTGAGTGCTGGCCTGTGAACCAAAAGTCACCAGTTCAATTCCCAGTCAAGGCACATGCCTGCATTGTGGGCCAGGTCCCCAGTTGGGGGCATACAAGAGGCAAATGATTGATGTATCTCTCACACATCAATGTTTTTCTCCCTGTCTTTCTCCCTCCCTTCCTCTCTCTAAAGATAAATAATTTTAAAAAGCTGCCCTGGCTGATGTGGATCAGTGGGTTGAGTGGCGACCTGTGAACCAAAGGGTCACCGGTTTGATTCTCAGTCTAGGGCACACACCTAGGTTGGGAGCCAGGTCCCCAGTAGGGGCACGCAAGAGGCAACCACACATTGATGTTTCTCTACCTCCCTTCCTCCCTTTCTCTTTCTAAAAAAATAAATAAAATTTTTTAAAAATCTTAAACAAGAAAAAAATGGTCAATTTTACTGTATGACATTGAAAAGTAAAATAAAATTACCCAGGAAAGTATTGGCTTTTTAAAAAATAAACAGATTCTACGGTTTATATGGAAAACATACAAAGATTAGCCAGCAAAAATGTTTTTGAAAATCTCAAAGATATGATAAATAATCAAGGTACAGTACGGTGTGTATAGCCTGCTACCATGTGGCACAAAGTGAAGAACATAGATTTGTATATGTTTGAAATATATGGAGTATCTCCAGAAGAAGGCACAGAAACTGGTAACAGTGACTGCATCCCAGAAAGGAAACAGAAGGCTGGGGGACCCAAGAGGGAGAGATTTTTATAGTTTATCCTAGGGGCCTATTGAATTTTGAAACAAGTGCATCTTAAAACAAACAAAAACATTTTTATTGAATTTATTGAGGTAACATTAGTTAATAAAATTACATAGGTTTCAGGTATACAATTCTATAATATATCATATGAATAATGAAAATGTTTTTTAAAAGAAGAATCTTGAACTCCTGAGTGTGAGGACTGAAGGGAGAAATGGGAGGGTGGGAGCTGAACCCACAGAACTGGGTGCAATCAGGCAGGGAAAAGCACATGGAAAGAGCTGCAACCTGGTGTCCCTAGGAAGGCAGGGAAGGCAGAGAAGATGGCCTGGTGGTGATATTTAGCAGAAACCCTCTGCAGGTGGGAAAGCAAGAAGAATGGAAGGGCCCTGGCTGGGTGGCTCAGTTGGTTGGAGCATTGTCCCATACACCAAAAAGCTGAGGGTTCAGTACCCGGTCAGGGCACATACCTGGGTTGTGGGTTTGATCTCTGGTTGAGACATGTATGAAAGGCAACCAATCAATGTCTGTCTGTCTCTGTCTCCCTCTCTCTCTCTCTCTCTCTTTCTCTCTCTCTAAAATCAATAAACATATCCTCAGGTGATGATTTAAAAAAAGAAGAAAAAGGGAAGGGAATAGATATTTGAGACTGAGGTATTTGGGGATGAAGACCTGCAGGTCATGTCTGAAAGGTCAGTGAACATGATGACAGAAAACATATTTGTCATTCAGGGTCACAGATGACACTGCAAGAGCAAGGTCTGTACAGTGGGTAGGTAAAAGCTAGACTTCAGAGGGTGAAGAATCATGACATGAGGGAGATGGAGTCAAGGGGACAAAACCCTTTCAAGAATTTTGGTGAAGGGAAAGAGCAATGGCAGAAGACGGGGCAGAGACCAGGAAAAGGGAAGGTTATTTTAATTGGTATCAATTTTAGTGGTTGATACGGGTTGCATGATCATGTTTACATTCATTGGGGTATGAGAAGTTTAAGCTCCTGAAGAGAATGAGTAATTGGATATATGAGCCCCAGAGTTGGTGACATAAGAGAACATCTGAAGCCCAGATGAATTATTGGGAGTGGAAGGAATTTATGCCTGGCAGCCTTGGTGTTCTCTCTGAAGAAGGTAAGATTCTCTGTTGAGAGTGAAGGACAAAGGAGCAGAATTTAAGTGGGGAAAAACTGTAAAAAGAAGACATATCTGCCCACAGTTCCAGAACCAACTTGGAGACAAGCAAAAAGATGGCCAAGCAGTTAAAGAAATTAGTGGCAGAAAGCAGCTTTAAAAAAAAAAATCCATTCACTCACTCATTCTCCTTCAATCAACAATTTTTGGGGAACCACCAAGATAACACCCTTGCAACAGTCTCCTCCTCTTGAGTGTTAGCTGGACTTTTTGACTCACTTTAAAGGAATAGCAGAATTAATGAGCTGCTACTTCTGAGATTAGATTATTAAAAGGCTTTGACTTCTGTCTTGGGTGCCTGCTTTCTCTTCTCTCTCACTCTTTGTTCACTCACCCTGAGTTATGCCAGCCAGTATGATGTGAGCTGCTCTATGGGGAGGCCCATGTGACAAACAACTAAGGCAACAGCCAGTGAGGACTGAAGCCCTCAGTCCAACAACCTTGTAAGTGAGTTTGAAAGTGGATTTTCCCCCAGTCAGGCCTTCAGATGAGACCACAGCTCTAGTGTGACAACTTCTGTTTCATGAGAGACCCAGAGGCAGAGGCACCCAGCTAAGGCATGCCCAGATTCCTGATCCATAGAAACTGCAAGATAATTAATCTTGTTTTTAGCTGTTACGTTCAGGGGCAATTTGTTATGCAGCAATAGGTAGAAAAGCACAGAGTAGTACACAAGCTAGGCAATATTCCCACTATCATGGAGCCTACCTTTCCAAAAGAAAGGACAGATAAGAAACATGTAAGATATGGAAATGTAGATATGAGAATGGTAAAGTAGGGCAATGTGGTAGGGAGTGAAGGTGGAAATGATTAGAAGGTCCGTTCAGGGAACGCTTCTTTGAAGAGGTGACATTTGAGCTGAGATGACAATAATGTGTTGACAGCTGAAATCTCTAGGAAGAACATGCCAGGCTGAAGTATTAGTAAGTGCAAAGGCCCTGAGGCAGGGACAGTTTTGTTTAGTTCTTGGAAAAGAAAAATAGCCAGAGTGCCTATAGCATAACAACTGAGATAGAAGGGATGGGAGAAAAATTGGAGAGGTGGACAGGAGCCTCATCATTTAAGCTTCAAAGGCTATGGTCAGGAGACTAAGGCACTTATTCTAAGGACAATGCTTGGAACATCATCTCACAAAGATGACCGGCTACGTCAGGACTTTTCTTAAAGTGCAAGACCCTAGCACCTCCCCCAAGTCTCTCTATCAGAATCTTCTTCACTTAGACCTCTAAGTCATACCCCAGAGCAGTCCCCAGCCCAGGCTTGCCCTTGCCCTCTGGTATCCTGCTCCTGATATGTACTTTTTGCCAAACACAGCCTACCTCTTAGGGCCTTTGGGAACCTCTGGGGCGGCTGCAGTAGGTTGGATCCAAACAGGAAGCATAAACCTTTTGCATAGATGTTCTCCTTGCAAGTTTGATGTAGGGTGGGACCGCAGGCCTAGAGGGCAGGGTGTAAGTAGGAAGGGCTGTCACTGCTTCCTGTCTTTTTTACCCCAGTCTCTCCATCCTCCACCCCATCCCCAACAGCCCCAGGTATCCACGCCTCCCCTCAGGACACTCCTGTGAGCCGGGGGCAACTCACCAGCAACCGGAAAGGGTTAGTGGCAAATGCCAGAGACAGACCCAAGGACATGTTCACAGCCTCCGGAGGTACTGAGAGGACAGATATGTGCATGGTTACATTCAGGGAGATAAAGGGCCTATGTAAGAGTTGGACAGGGGTCACCTCGACCTGGGAGACACAGAGTTCTAACAGGTCAAGAGGGCACCCAGGTCATGGGAAAAGAACATGAAAGGGGTACCTGTGGGTTATCTGGGGTAGGGTCTACCTACAACACAGGCTGGGGAACTGAACCCCTGGGGCCCCCACCACTGACTCCCCAGAACAAAAGGAACACCTGGCAACTCTAGGTATATGCACAAGTGGAATCCTCACCCTGGGTTAGGGAGGGCCAATGACTCACCCTGCAGCTGGATGGGCCCACAGGTGGTCGTGCTATAGTCACACTCGTAGAGGCCTCCTGTTTGGTTGACAGCCTTTATCTCCAGAGGGGCTCCAACCACCACCCTAAGTGGAGAAGTGGGAACAGACCAGCACAGCAATAAAAGAAAGTTGGTACGTGGAGAGAAAAGGAGACCACAGAAGGTCTGCCCACCCAAAGGAAAAGTGGGAGACACTCACACAGACTCCCCAACCCTGAGAAATAGAAGGAAGACTCAACAAAGAAAAAAATGGGAAATTTTAAAATCTTAGAATGAGAAGGATCCCTCTAAGAATGACACAAAATGTAACAGGGTACAGAATATGGATCCCCTGATAATAGGGGAACACCTCCAGTATTGGGGTCAGGGAGAGGAGATGGTACAGTGTTTAAGAAACATTGCGTAACAAAGGCAAGTTGATGGCCACGCCTTCCTGAAAAGATCTCAGAAGCTGCAGAATTGTATATATGACTGTGCGAATGTGCAGTGACTCATCACATAGCCAAAGGAGTGGGGCACAGATGCCCTCCCCAGATGCCTGTGTGTCCCTGGGAACTCTTGTCCTGACTAAATATGGAAGCCAAAAGAGGGTCAAAGACACTAGAGAACTGACAAAAATGGTGGACACTAACACACCATAGGAAGGACCAGATATGAGGTCATATAGGAAGTTCCAAGCTGAGCATTTAAATTAGGGTGGGTCAAAGGTCAAAAGAGAGCCAAGAGGTTAGAGGAGGTCTACAGAGAAGGTGGCCACAAGGTTTCCCTGACTGGGAGTCTGCCTGTAGAAGATGGTGGCACCGCTGATGGAGCTGCAGGGACCCCCCCAAGCAAAGCACACACACGTCAGAGGTACTTGGATCTGAACTGTGACCAGGAATGCTAAGCTGCAGACTTCCACTTCTCTGAAAAACATATGGAGAAGTCACTCTCTTGGGATATGTGCCTCCTTGGACTCCACCATGATCCAGTGTAAAATGGCACATGGTTTCCTGAACCACTAAGCGGAGGCTGAGAACAGCGCACCGCACATCCTGAAGGAAAGAGCTGCTGTGAGAGGATGGTCACTCCCACAAGTGCGCATTCTAGAGGGGATGGAGACCTGTTTGCATGACTGGCTGATGGACAGATAAGGATATGGGGAACTTTTGGGCATGGCTTTTGCTTGTAGCCTTTTGGAGAGCAAGGAAAGTTTTGGATCTTGTGAGGCAGGAGGGATCTGAGCAAGAGTGCTCTCAGCATCTCTCCCCTAAAGGTTGAAACCCTGTTTAGACACACTTACTTCCTTCAACACAAACTGTTGAGTCTCACAGATTGAAGGCACCAAGTGGCCAAGCCCCAGTTTGCTTGGTTACAAAAACAAAGAGGTCATTTAAAAGTGGCTAAATTTGCTCTTTTTTGTGGTACCTCAGAGGTGATGAGCTGCTTCAGAATGAAGCTGAACATCTCTTTCCCAGCCACTGGCTGCTGTAAACTCATTCAAGTGGACAATGAACACAAACTTTGTACCTTTTATGAGATGCATATGGACACAGAAGTTGCTGCTGATACTGTGGGTGAAGAAAGAATGGGCTATGTCACTCGAATAAGTAGTGGGAATGACAAAAAAGGTTTCCCCATGAAACAGGGTACCTTAACCCATGACCATGTCCACCTGCTACTGAGTAAGGGGTATTCCTGTTACAGAACAAGGAGGACTAGAGAGAGAAAGCGCAAAACTCTTCAGGGTTGCATTGTGGATGCCAGTGTCAGTGTTCCCAACTTGGTCACTGTGGGGAAAAAAAAAAAAAAAAAACAGGAGAAAGATATTTCTGTTCTCATTGATATTACTGTGCCTCATCGCCTGGGGCCCAAAAGAGCTAGCAAAATCTGCAAACTTTTAAATCTCTCTAAAGAAGATGACTCCCACCAATATGTTTTGAGGAAGTCCCTAAACAAAGAAGGTAAGAAACTTTGGACCAAAGCACCCAGGTTTCAATGTCTTGTTACTTCATGTGTTGTGCAACACATACGTCAGTGATTGCTCTGAAAAAAACAACATACTAAGAAAAATAAATAAGGGGCCACAGAATATGATAAACTTCTGGCTAAGAAGATGAAGGAGGCCAAAGAAAAATGCCAGAAACACATTGCCAATAGACCATATGCTGTCTTCTCTGAGAACTTCTACCTCTAAGTCTGAGCCCAGCCAAAAATGAGATTTTTCTAAGACTAATAAATGAGATAAAACAGCAAAAAAATTTTAGTAAATAAATAAATATGGTTACATTCAATCACACAGTCATTTTAAAAAAATTTCTGTCTGCAATAAACTACCATAAGCAAAGTTAAAATACAAATGACAAACTAGTGGGAGAGAGAGATTAGCAACCCATACCCTAGCCTACTTTTCTCAATACAGTCATACCTCCTATAAACCAATAAAGAAAAGATAATAATAGTAATCCAAGAGAACAATGGGCAACAGATAAGAAAAAAAGTGTTCACAGAAAAGGAAATAATCTCTCATTTATAAAGAAATGCAACTTAAAGCTAAACTGAGATACCATTTCTCACTTGTTCAATTTTCAAAGATCAGTAAGTTTAGTAACACATTGGATTGGTAAATGGGCAGTGAAGTAAAGTTTCCATAAATTTCTGGTGTGAATATAAATTGTTGCCACTTCTATAGAGGACAATCTGAAAAAAAATCTATTAAAATTACATACGCATATGTGGCCTTTGATCCAGCAATCCTAGTTCTAGGAATTTACTTCCAAATATATTTGCACATGTGTAAAATGACAGCATCTTTCATATAGAAGAAGTGTGGAAACAATCTAATGTCCATTAAGAAGAGATTTAAATGTAATACTATACAAATGTAAATTACAATACTTTCAAATAATAGAATATGATGCAAGCATAAAAAATGAGTAAGCTCTTTATGCACTTATCTGGTACAATTGCTATGCTCATTTAAGAAAAAAAGAGAGGATCTAAGATAGTGGAGGAATAAGTAGAAGTCACACTAACCTCCTCCCAGGACCAGTCTGGAATTACAACTATATTGTAGAGAAATTATCTTGACTAACCAACTGAGCACTAACTAGAGAGAAGCCTTATGACCACGGACAGACAGAAAAAAACACTTAGCCACACTGTGACTGATAGGGAGTGTGGAGGAGATGTGGAGGGTTAGGTGGGCTCCCACAGGTGGCAGCAGCAGTGCCAGAGGGATATTTCAGCTGCTGGGAGGTTTCCCATGAGAAGTGTAGGGTCTAAACCCCAAGCTGGACTCCCCAGCCTACAGCACAGAGCTGGAAAGGAACCCAGACACAATCCAACTGTGAAAAGTAGCAGGCTTTCTGTTGGCCAGAGAGAGAAAGCTGGAGACACAGAGAGCCTCTTAAAAGGCCAAAGAACAAAATTTCATTTGCAGACACTTACCCTGGGTGCCAGCAAAGGGAGGGCAGAGTGAACAACAGGCACTTGAGGACAGTCTGGGGTTGGTGGCTCTGGGGAGAGAACTGAGGGAACAGCCACCAGGATCCACATACTGAATCATTCCCCACACTGCAGGACTCATCTTTCTCAGGCAGATCACTCCTATCTAAACAGCATCAACCTGAGGAAAAGCAATAGCCCCACCCAAAAGAATTACTCTGCCCCCACACTGTGGTGCCAAAGCCTAACTGCTGATTACAAACTGATTAGATTAACAACTGATCCGTTTAGTGGATGATTAGTTTAATATATAAGGGAGAAAATACAAAGAAGCAGCCAAAATGGGAAGACAAAGAAACCCAAAAGGAAAGAGCAAGAGAATTTTCCAGAACTAGATGAAATGGAGGTAAGCAATTTACTAGATAAATAGTTTAGAGTAATGATTATAAGGATACTCAACAGCATGAAAAAAGACATAGAAACCATAAAAAAAGATCAGTCAGAAATAAAGAATGCAATATCTGAGATAAATAATACAGTGGCAGGAGTAAACAGTAGGTTACGTATCAGAGGAGCGAAATCAGTGTTTTGGAAGACAAGATAAAAAAACAATCAGGCAGAGCAGCAGAAAGAAAAGAGAATTTTAAAAAACAAGGGGAGCTTAGGAAACATCTTGGACAACATGAAGTATAACAACATCCGCATCAAGGAATACCAGAAGGAGAAGAGTGTGAGCAAAGGGTCGAGAACCTATTTGAATAAATAATGACCAAAAACTTCCCTCATCTGGTGAAGGAAAAAGTCACACAAGTTCAGGAAGCTCTGAGAGTACCAAACAAGTTGGACCCAAAGAGGCCTAAGTGAGACACATCAAAATTAAAATGACAGAGCTTAGAGATAAGGAGAGAATCCTAAAAACCACATGAGAAAAGCAGATAGTTACCTACAAGGGAGCACAAATTAGGTTGTCATCTGATTACTCATCAGAAACATTTCAGGCCAGAAAGGAGTGGTGTGAAATATTCAAGGTAATGAAAAGCAAGGACCTACAACCAAGACTACTTTGCCCAGCAAGACTACCATTTATAATTGAAGGAGAAATAAGGAGCTTCCCAGACAAGAAGTTAAAGGAGTTTGTTAACACCAGACCAGCGCTGCAACAAATGTTAAAGGGCTTGCTTTAAGAAAAAGGAGAAAAAGAGAGAGAAAATAAAAAAGAGGAAAACAGTCTAACAATAAAATGGCACTACATACATATTTATCAATAATCACCTTAAATGTAAATGGCTTAAATGCTCCAATCAAAAGACAGAGGGTAGCTTAATGGATAAGAAAACAAGACCCATATATATGCTGCCTCCAAGAGACCCATCTCAGATCAAAAGATACACAAAGGCTAAAAATAAGGGTTGGAAAAAGATATCTCATGCAAATGGAAAAGAAAAAAAGCTGGGGTAGCAGTACGTATATCTAACAAAATAGACTTTAAAACGAAGGCTATAATAAGAGACAAAGAAAGACACTACATAATGATAAACGGAACAATCCAACAAGAGAATATACCATATTTACCATGTATACTGCTCACTTTTTTGCCCAAATTTTTTAGAGAAAATTAAGGGTATGCATTATACACAGGTGGTATCTGAAACACTTTTT